AGTTTAGCCATGAGATAATTGCCCAATGTATCGACATCAGTATTCTTAAAGATTAATAAACACACCTTGCTGACCTGACTACGGGTTATAGTAAAAAAAAAAAAAATAAATAATATTATTAAAAAACAGAAATAATTCAAATACTTTAATTAATAAAAGAAATTATCAAAAAGTTTATTTAAAAATATAATTATCAAATCAAGTATATTATATAAACTTGATTAACTACTCTATAAATAGATTTTTTTTAGAAAATACTAACCTTTTTTTTATTTTAATTTCTAATTTTAATATTGATTACTTATTCTTAATATATTAAACTTTTTTAAAAATAGCAATAAACTAATCAATAAAGAAGTAATTTTCTTTTTAAATAGCTTTAAAAAAAATGTATACTGTATATTATAAATATATAAATACAATATATACTGTAAATAGTATTTTTTTTTATAAATAAAGCAAAAATAATTAATTATAATAAAAAACTTTTTCTATTAATTTTTTATTATATATAAAAAAAATATTCATAAGTTTTTTTATTTTTTTACTAATAAAGTTTTGATAATTTCTTTAAAATAACTAAAGTTTAACTTAAAAAATAATTTTTATCTTTTTCTTATTGTTTATAAACTTTTTTATTCAAAAACTTGACTTTTGTAATCAAGAAAAATCAATAATATTTTTTATACTAATAATAAAACTGATTATAAAGTATTTGAAGGCCTTTTAAATCTTTGAAATAAGAGATTTATAAAAAATTTTTATAGTAAAAAGATTTATTTTCTTTTTTTTTTATTGTTTTAAAACTTTTATATTTATGGTTTTTTGAGAAATTTTACTATCTCAATTTAATTTTAAATTTTAAATAATATAAACTCTTATTAAGAATAATTAGCTGACCAATATACATTAGCTTTTAGATTGTAAACAAACTTTTATTAATTATATTTATATATCTCAATAACATTATTAATAATTGAAAAAAATATTCTAAAAATTTTTATCTTTCAAAAGCTCATATTCTTTAAAAAAGATATCTATAATATTAAAAGATCAAGAGATTAATAATATGAATTGCAAATTTCCATTTCCTTTTTAAGTTTTTTAGATAATAATAAGACTTTAAAAAACAAAGACTAAAATCTAAATACTTCTCTTGAAATATTTCAATCTAATACTTACTTGCTTAAATAAAAAAACTAGTTAAATTGACCTATACAATATTACAAATAATAATAAAGAAGTTTTTTTCAAGATTTAAAAAAAGTAAAATAACTATTCTAATTAGATGGTTTTTTTTTTTAAAACTTTGTTAATAGAATTTTGAATTGTTCTTTTTTTCAATTCTTTTTTTTCTTTCTTTTAACTTAACAATTTATAAATTATGATAATCTACAATAATAAATTGTTAGTAATAAATCTAATAAATAAAAGTTTATATCAACTCTTTAGAAAAGTGAAATATTGTTTCCTAAATCTGACTTAGAGTACTTCAGTATAATAATAAGTTAATCATTAAAAGAAAAATTAATAATAAAATAAAAAAATATAAAAATTTCTAAAAAAAAAATAAAAAAAATAAAATAATTAAGGATAAAAAAAAAAAAAAAAAAAAAAAAAAAGTAAAAATAAGTTGGTTAAAAAAAAAAAAATCCTTAATATTTAATTAATTTAACTAATAAATAATTTGTTTAAAAAAAAAAAATATTAATATTAAAAAGACACATCATTATAAAATGATTGCAAGTTAAAAAAAAAAAATCAATGAATAGTTTTTTACTATTATTTTTCTAATAATATACAAATTCTTAGATAGTATAATAAAACAATGACTAGACATGAAATTCTTATAAATAAAACAAGAATGAATTGATTTAAAAAAAAACAAACAAACAAATCTTTTTCACAAATAAACAATCATAAGCCAGTTCAAAAAAAAAAAAAGATGTCTTTATGATAATAAAACAAAACAAGTCGATTAAAAAAAAAAAAAAAAGAAATCTTTTTCACAAATTAACAAGGATAAGTCAATTTTATAAAAATAGTATTTGCTCACTCGACGCAACATTACTTTATTTTATAACAAGCTCTATTTTTGACAATACTTCCAGACGATTGGTTTTTTTGTTAAATAAATTTATTAATAAAATAAAGATTTAGGTTATCTCTCTTATTTATTCACAATTTTTACGTGTTAATTCAATTATTGATGCTTCGTGTGAGTGCTTTTAATGCCGACATTTTTTATTCACACGTGGTTAGATGTTAATTGTAACTTCAAAACAATGCTTACCTCGTAATCAAAACCATTACATGGCAGCAGGTGACAATTTACTATTCAGGGGCGATCTCCTAATCTAGTGACGGGACAAAACAAAATTAGAAAGGGTCATATAAAAGCGATAATAGATCGAGATGATAAGAATCACGTACGTTTTTACTCTATCGGCATCTAAAGCCGCGCGGATCTTCTCTGTTATTGATTCCACTTTACGCGTCGCGATTTTCGAACATTGTACAATTTGGTCCATGGCCAAAGGCACACCACCAGCTTTCGACAAAACACATATTTCCTGGTGATCGTTTATTGTTATTGTCATATCACCTTGACGTATTTGCTCTTCTTGTAAACAGGGATCTACGACCCATAAATCTCTGAATAATATAGAGATTTTAGTTGAAATGATTCAGAAAAGAACTTAGCGATAAAAATATGTGTGTAATACCCGTCTTCGAAGAAAGCAAACGTCACACAAATGGGTGTATGGTGAATGGTTAGCGGGATCGGGTTTCGCTGTTCAATCGAATGCTGCAAATGAAATTGCAAACAAAAGTGTCTTATTAGACATATAAAATTGTAATAAAAATAATAGTTATAATGTAGAGACGAAAGATACTATGGTGATACTATCATCTCCGGCAACGGTGACATCAGGTCTTCGAAAATGAGAGAGTGCCGAAATAGCTGCGATACACGCGGCATCAATTATATTGCCGTCGTTGTCAAGAAAGTGTATGTCGACACGAATCGTCCATACCTGGAGGAACGGGTTAACTAGTCATTTCACTTGTGATAATGGAATTTCCGATAATATACATACTTTTTTTTCGCGAATGATGCACAATCCTTCCAGATCTATAGCGTGATTTATTTTCAATGCCTTCTCAAGGATTCGACTTACAAGAATTTCCTCTTCTGAAGGTCTTCAAGAGCGTTTACATTATATTAGAAGATATTATGATAATCACTGAATGCAAATTTCATACCTTCCTGAATCAAGACCCGGGAATGCCATTGGGGACAGCTCTGCATTTATTATTAGAATCCCTTCCGAGGGACGTTCCAGGTAGGGTCTGGTGACTTCACATGATACCTTAGACAATACTCTAATGTCGAAACAGATTTATATTTGCTTTTACGAGTTTACGAATCTGAAGGAATAAAGCTTGAAAAGAATTTTTTACTTTGTGCCACCAAGTCTAACTTCTGAACGTCCTTTTTCTGGACCAAGTATGATACTTAAGGGTCTAAAATCTCCTAGATCTCGACCATCAAGGCGAATTCTTTCCTTCAGGCTAGATAATATGAAATTTCTTTCATTTGTAGAGATTTCGGATTCCTTAACCATCACGAAGTTCTGCTGTTAGGATCCGATCTGATGATCATCAAAAATTTATTTTTAGTCAGATGTTAATACAGTAGTAGGTTCTATCAACCTGATCATATCCAGTTAAACGAGTTTTAATACTTGGTGAACGTGAACACCATAACCAGTAATTAAATCTGGTATTTGTTGTTATATTATAAATTTTCAAAATTACAATTTTTTAAGTTAAAAAAAAAGATTTACAATCTATAAAAAGTATACAAATTTGGAAATATAAATTACAAATTTGAAATAGTAACGATAGTCCATTCATCCAGGGTGTCTTTTAATCTTCAGAATAAAGTTCATTTACGCATCAATTAATCCGACACGAACACCATAATCCCGGATTAAATTCATCATTCGTGTTATTTGTGTCGACTGAGGATTTCGTGCCTTAAATTTGTCCCACACCTCCATCATTTTTTCCGTCTCCTTGATTTTAGAAAATGCTCTCATGAATACAATATAATCAACGGTACGTGGGGAGATTTCTCTTTCACACAATTCATCCCATAATTTCATGATATAGTTCCATTGACGATTACGATTAAAGTGGCTCACCACTATGTGAATACTGTCAATGTCAGGAGATGGAAATTTGGATTCGGTATACGTAGGCGAAGAACGAGAGGAATCGTTAGTTTCATCGTCGAGTTGCTCAGTTACAAAAGGAAAATCTGATGATTGATCGTGACTGCACAACATTTTCATAAACAATTTAAATGTCCCTTTTGTCAGGAATCTGTCTCGAGCGAGCATACTTAATAGAGTATTATAATGCCAGGTGCCAAGATTTCCAACCACTCTGGGATTCCTTAAATAATCGATGGCACCGTTGATATCTTCGCTACGATTATAAGCGGTGAGCATAATTAATATAACCACGCTATCCGGTTCGTAACCTGCGGAGATCATCCGAGCGAATGTAGAATTGCAACCCCTGACATTACCCACCAGAGCATAGGCTTTCATAAGTACGGTGAAGCTAATCAAATCTAGATGTACTCCCTGTGAATTCATGTAGTCAAATACTTGTTGAGCTCGATTCACCTGTCTATTGTTGGCAAACATATTCACCAGAGACGTATAACTAATGTTATCCGGCGTTATTCCAACTTGTTTCATTTCCTCAAATTCTTTGCAGGCTGCTCCGATGTTACCCGCATTAGCATAACCGTTGATGAGGGAGTGATAGACGTGGATGGTCTTACGAAATCCACAATTCAGCATTCTTTTGACCGTCATCTCCGCCAGATCCATGTCGGGTATCTTGGTGTACCCATCCAACAATATATTAAAGATAAATTGATTCGGCTTGACTGCATTATGCTGCATTATTTGGATCAATTTTTCTGCCCCTTCCATGTTTCGATAATATATAAAGTTTTTCATTAGAATGCCATAGGTGATAACATCCAGGACAAAATGTTTTTTCCTCATTTCCATCAGAATTGTTTCCATCGCACCCTCCGATTTTCCATTATTAGTTCGATCATTGAATGTTATGAGTCGAGATTTAAATCTATGTTCATGTATATCTTTCTTCATTGCCAGACCAAGGATTGTGTTAAATGTTCGGTTAGTAGGTCTGAAACCTTTGTCAAGCATTTCAAAATATTGTCTCATCGCCTCTTCAAAATCATAATCGCCATTTCTCTCTTTGATGTGTTGTATAAGGATATTGTATGTGACCTGATCAGGAATGACGTTGTACTCGGCCATCCGTAAGATTATGGAGTTTGCTCCTTTCATCCCATGCACGCTTAAATAACCTTTCAAGAGGATGTTGAGCACAAATAAATTAGGGCTAATCCCTTGCTCTACCATTTCATCGAAATATTTCATCGCTTCATCGAGATTCCGCTCGTTCACACAACCCGAGATGAATGTGCTATACGTTATCACATTCGGATGTAGGCCCATCGATCGCATCCGAGCAAGTGTCTCCCGCGCCATAGAAAAATCTTTCATTTTGATGTACATGTTGACAATGATGTTGAACGTTCTTGCAACATGTAGGCGACGAATAATGATGTGATCCATAACGTTGAGAGCTTGTTGTGTTTTTCCCATTTGAATGAGCGCTAACATCAATGTGTGATAAGTATCCGGGCCTGGTTGCAATTTTAATTTGAGCATCTTATGATAAATCTTTTCTATCGCTCGCACATCTCCGACATCAAGATAGCCTGACATTAAAGTATTGAAAGTCCTGACGTTTGGAGTTATCCCGAAAGTCTGCATGACTTCGAGACATCTCTCGGTTCCTTTAAAATCGTGAAATTTTAGCAATCCATGAATGATGGTGTTAAATGTGATTATATTTGGCTTGACATTGTGCCGATCCATTTCATGTAATAAATTATATGCATTTTTAATGTCATTATTGTTTACGTATGCTAAGATAAGTGTGTTGTATGTTTTCAGATCCGGCCGGATTAAATGTTTTTTCATGTCCCGAAAAAGTTCCAGGCATCTCTGTATTTTTCCCAATTTCGCATATCCGTATATTAGTATGTGATATGTGCCTCGTGTGGGCACAATATTTTCTTCGAATATTTCTGCAAGTATTGACTCGGCCCTAACGAGATCAAATCTGGCGTACGCGTTAATTATTTTTTCATATGTGTGCTTGTTTAATCGCAATCCAATCCTCTTTATGTCTTTGCAGACTCGTTCCATCCAATATATAATGTTTTGCGATTTCCACTTTCTATCCAATTTCAATATCTTTGATATTATCATCAGAAAATCTCCCTCGGTAAATGAATTCAGCTCTTCCATTTCCGATAATCCGAGGTATTTTGACCATATTGAACTTGGAGGTCTCTTGTGTGGACTGACTCGAGCTCTACGGTGTTTTTCTTGAACGTGCTTTGGTTCTTCACCGATCTTCCTTATGGGCTCATGAGACACGAGCTGTGATTGTTTTCGTCTCGTAAGTTTATTCACATTGAATTTGCTTTTCCAAATTCGTAAAGTAGTCAAAAAGGGCGTTTCGGTTAGAGTAAAAATGACGTATGGAAGCTCCATGCGCGGTAGATAGTTGAATGTGCTTTTGCACTGGCAAGATTGTCGATTTGTGTATCGCGTCAAGAATTTTGGTATGTTTGTTAAGTGCATAAAAGTTGTTTGAAGATTGACCATAGTATGTTCTGTGAGATATTGACCATAGTATGTTTCGAAAAGGTAATGCTCTAGCGATCTCTGCTCTTTGCATAGAACATCGCGAATTGATCGAACCAAGATCTCGTGTAACCACGGTTAAAAAAATTTTTTTTTGCAAAAAGATACTGTATGTATACTTGAGCAGCATGACTTATTTGTTGCGATGTAATTTATTAATCAATTAAAACTTTTGTTATAGATGACTTTTTTTGAACTATTATTAAGATTTTATTAGTACAATTATATAAAATTTCTTGTAAATGTTTTTTTATATATAATCAAGAAATTAATAAGATTTTTTTAATCTATATATTATTATACATAAATTATTATTATTATATATCTTATCAAATTATTGAAAATATAGAAAACTCTAAAGAAAATAAGTTGAAAAAAAAAAGTAAATATTTAAAAATACAAAAATACTCTATAAGAAAATAAAAAAAGAAATAAGAAATAAAATTATTTAATTTTTTTAGAATTTATTTTATCTTATATTAATTATTCATAGTCAAATTAGATTGTAGTTTATTAATTAATTGAAAATATAAACACATTTTTACTCAAATAGTATGATATATACTATAGTTAAGCAATAATAATACCTAAGTTTGATCTTTAGAACAATATTTTTTTCTATAATAGTTTTTTGATAAATATTCTTCTAGTTTATCACATTATTGCCAACAAGTTATCACTGCTAAATATCCTATCAAGTCACTGAAATATAGAAAGCTACAAAAGAAATATGTTGAAAAAAAGAAAAAAGATATATTAAAAAATGTCCAAATAAATTTATAAAAAAATAAAAAAAATAAAAAGAAAAATAAAGTTTTTCACCTTTTTTCAAAACCCTATTTTTTAAAACTTCTTTTCAATAAAAAATATTTGATTGAAATATTCTTTCTTTTTCTAATTGTCTAAAAAACTTATCTATTTTTAATCTTAATTTCCTTTTTATATACTGTTTAAGAAGATTTTTTACTTAGTAAGAACCTTTATTTTTAAGACATATAGTTCTTGATTCCAATCTTCTTTGTACGATGATTTTTTATTTATCTATAATAGACAGATAACTTATTATAGATCCCAAATTCTTATATGATCCAATAGAAATTTAATCATATTGTTTTAGTATAATATCTTCCAGTAGCTATATTTAGTTAATAAAATTTTATTAATAAATATCTTTTATTAATTAAAAAATTAGTATAATAATCTGTACCTACTTTTACTTGAGAACTAGATCCAGACATATATAATTAAATCTTAAACTATCCCTGAGTATAGATCATAATGTGAGAAAATATTTAAAGTACACTATCAAGGAGATTGTTTCTATTTACAATAAATAATAATTATAAATATAAATATAGATTAATAGAAACTTAATTATTTTCTTTTCTATTTTTATATTCTTTATTATTTTTTTTTATGTTACATAAGTATTTAAACCAATATATTATATAATTTATGTATTTTTATTTTGTATTTTTATTATTATTATATTTATTTATATATTGAAATCATGTATAAATATAAATGTTTTTTGAGTTTTAATAAAGATAATTTTTAATTATTTTCAATTAACTATACTTGTTCATTAACTTTGATACAAATATTTTGAAGTCTTTTATACTTGATAGTAATAAATTGTTATAATTATTCCATATACATATACTGTATATCATTGAATATATACTAAATAAAACTCTGCTAAAATGAATACTGATCAATTTAATATATTTATAGCTATTTTAAACAATTTTGCTTCTATTCAATCCATTGCCACTACTCTAAAAAATTTTATTTGAATTCCTATTTATAAAGAAGCTCCTGACAAAAATATTATTACTTAAATGTTACAATATATAAACATTTTTCTCACTCAAGTAATTGTTGATTTTCAAACCTATATTCCTTATACTGATACAAGATTTTAAAGAGCCACTATATACTGATATTTCAACTAAATATAAGCTATTTAAGCTACAAGACAAAAACATGTCTTTGATGACTGAAATACTTTCACCCATGCCTTCTAAACTATTTTTTAATCTTCCAATTATCAACAATATCTTTATCAGAAATAAAAAGACTATAATAAATAAGTTACATATAAGAATATATAATACAATTTTAAAATATTTAGAACAAATAAATAATATAAATAAGGAAGATCAAATTATCTATTTAATGAAAAGATTGAAGCTTAATACAAGAAAAAAAGTAAGTTACCAGACCTTTACAACTTTTTAAAATATTTGAAATACTGCTGTTCACTTTGATATTGTTATATATAATATTGGAAGACCTGTTAACCATTAAAACAAAAGAAAAAGTAATAACTGAAATTGTAACAAAAACTTGTTATCTTTACAGCTAGTAATTATAGTTTTAATTTAAATCTAATTGATCAAT